AAAAAGTGAGAGATGATGATGTGATGGACATAGAAAAAAAATGGAGCGAATAAGCCGAGGAGGTTAGCACTTAACGGACAATGAAATAGCAGCAATATGAAGTTGAAAGATGTATCTCTGTCTAATATCGGTGAGGGTGACAAAAAAAGCACAAATGGCCCTGCGTGGCTATTATGTGTGCCCAGTGTGCGGTGGTTATTATTTAGTTCCACCGCAGTGCAGTTAGGTGACAGTTTCACGGTGGCATTTCCACCCTCGGGGCACGGACAAAGCAACTGCAAAGAACCCACGCAGGGCTGCAGCAACAGGCCAGTCTGCCGCACGTTCCAGTCACACAGAGACCAACCAGCAGAGCTCCCCATCAGCTCTGCCCTGTTAGGCAAAACAGACACCCGAACCAACTACCTGACGCAGGACAGCCAGAATATGGTTCTTGGATGCAGGAAAGATGTACGTGTTACAAAAAGAAGGTTATTTGTGCGTCATGGATCCTTCGGTGTAACATCCTGATACTGGTCTATCCGTTGACAGCTTTTCCCAAACATTATTATAACCTCCTTTCCTGGGGCCTGATAGTTTTAACAGTGAAGTGACCCCAGGTTAGCCCCTGACCTTTTCACACACACACACAGCACCGCAGCGGAGTCAGCCTCGCCACTGACCCTGCAACAAAACTGCACAGATACTCAGAGAGAGAAACCATCAGCACATTCCACACTTTAATTTTTCAAACCCTACAAATGTCTATGATTTATTTATTTATTTTGACTTAAATGGTAGGAAATAAGCTGGAAACTATAACACACATTTCTTTACTTAAAAAGAATTGTTGCCTTCCTTGTTCAGAGTGAGAAAAAGAAATAAATCAAAACAGCAGCAGAGTTGTGTTGGCACGTCCGTAATGTGCAATGTGCTGGATGAAACTGCTTCACAAAACCTGAGGCTAAACAAAGTTAAGTGATTGACAACGCTGTCTGGCTTTACTCAATTAACTATCCCATTGTGGCTCTTCTTTGGAGAGTCCCCTCGCTCCCGACCCTTTTCTCTCCTCGCTCCTTTATCCTCCCCATCACAGACTTTTGCTTGGCTAATACTTCCAAGAAAATAGAGGGCTCTTTTTCTACTGGGGCTCCTCTCCTTGACCTTCTATTGCTCATTGCTTCTTTTTCAGTAACTTCACAGTGTCTTTGGGGTTAGTGGGGAGAATGCAGAGAGTACATCAGCGCCGAGGGGCCGGCTCAGGGCAAGACCCCAGCCCATTACTTCAAAGTTGGCCCGCATTCATTAATTGTCCTTTGAATTAATATTGGAGGATCACAATGTGGGTGCCAACAGAGAAAGAGGCTTTAATGAAGCATAGAGTCTGCATTCAGTTGCAGATCAGCCAGTGTGGATTTTTTCCATTCTTTTTTGGAGCAGGAGAGAGCGTTGAGAGTGGTGCCGACTAGCAAAATGTGAAAGTGCTGAGTATTTAAAGTAGAGTAGAAGGGCAAAGAAGTATCTATCCACCCATCCATCTATGAATTTTGGGCCGTTTTCCCAGCAGTCTAACAGGATAAATAAGCATCATAAGCACTCTCAACACAGGAAAACACAGAGTGAGCCCCACATATAAATTTTTCCATTATCCAGCCCTGAGAGGAAAATGGAAATGTGGCTATAGCAGACATTCCTCTGGTTGCACTGAGGCCTTCTGTCTCCTGTCTCCTCCAAACCTCCAGTCGCATGTTCTACAAAATCTCTCTCTCTGTTTACAGTTAAGGGTTATTGCTATGTTGCCTGGATGCCTCTGCTCCCTGTGTGTGCCCGAAATGTTATCTGTTTATATACTTAGATGCCTCATGAGAGCCTAAGTTATGAAACTTGAAAATTGGATTAAAGAGCCTGTATGCAGCCGGCTACGTGCGGAAGTTTGTTATTGCAATAGCTTCTCCTTTGTTGGCGGTTCAGACCAACCTATATTACATACACATTTCTGACCGCTATAAAAATACGGCACAGGCCCGAACGCAGTTGCAGACTTTCTGCTCTCCTCGCTCTCCAAATTTCCCCCTCATTCAAAAGCCATGCCAAAATCACAGGGAGCCAGTAACCCAGTTTATTTACACAAACAAAGTCCTACTCAGCTCCTTTGACAAAAGCAGCTAAATCTTTCATGTTTTGTCAGCACTTGATTCCTCCTGTCCCTCTGGCTATTTGCCTGCCTCTGGACAATAGAGGCAGGAGAATGGCAGCAGATTGTTGGAATGCACCTCAATGAAACCAATTATTACATGTTGACTGCGTTCACCATGGCAGATTTGAAAGAACTGAGCTCATTCATTTTGGCACCACGGGACTCCCTTTTTAAAGAAAAGTTATCCCTTTGACTGTTTGTATTTCTGAGCTTTCTTCCCCCCCGCCTCCTCCTTCTTCTTCTTCTTTCTGCCTTTCACCCCACTGCCATAAATGGATCCTGCAAGACTTGCTGCTCTAGCTTCGATGACTTTGGTTACTTTAATTAATTGTATGACGCTAAAGGCTAAAGTGCTAAGAGTATGGAGGAAAGGATGCTATCAATTAACACATCCCAAGAACAAGAACAGCATTGCACAATTCAGTATTCCTGTAAATATCACACACCCAAGATACAATGAGTTGCTTGACTGCTTTATTAACAAATATATATACGTATATATAAATTGTAAACCAACTTGCTCAACCGTACGCGCTGTTTAAACTTTGACAAGTCTACTTTCACTTATGCAGCAAATGGAATTATCAAACCCTTTCCCACAATGTTCCAGCCACTCACCAATGCCATTGGCCTTCCCGATATACTTTAACCCACAAACCTTAGCAGTCCTTTTTTTCCCAGACAAATAAATCTAAATGAGTCAGCTTTGATCTTAGCACTTAAGGAAAGCCAACAATAGTGGTAGAAGAGAAAGGGGCAGAGAGCAACAGGCTTCTCTCTACCACAACAATAGCCTCTACAAACACCTACTTAATCAATATTTGGCCAGAAGACACTCTCTCAGTCCCCAAACCACCCTTTTCACATTCTAATGAAGTCTCATAAAAGAGGGGGGGAAAGAAGAAAAACTCAACTACTTCCACAAAGAGACAAGAATGAAATTGTACTTTTCTCAATAGAGAAATGTGCTTTAAAGATGATTGTGTGTAGGATGTCACCTATTTGGTGGAGAGAGAGAGAGAAAGGAGAAAGTTCTATTTATTTGTTTATTTCGTTCTGACAATTAAAACAATTCCTAAAAATCATTTAAATTACATTTTAAACATATTTGTCTCCCTATTACCTGTTACACGTTTTTCTGTGTCCTTTCTAACAGACTGCTCAAAGTTTAGTTTAACTAAACAACTATCTCTTCGGCTTGGGGCGATGAAGCAAATCAGGGTCAAGAAGAAATTATGCGTATGAAATCATAATTTGCTGGTGTATCCATCTACGATCAGAATCTAATCGGATATTTATTTTGTATCCCCCCTTCCCTTACAAATGAGTTGAAGAAGTTTAACAAGCAAGCTGGCCTGATCAATACTGTGGATGTTCCTCGTCTGGTGGAGGGAAGTGCCCACAGTCACTCCATTAAATATATGCGCCCTAGGCGGAAAGGAAAGGGGCGGACTTTTTCTGGGATGAAAGTGGAGAGAAATAAAAGGGTTCGGGTTTAATCTAGTGAAGAGTGAAGAGTTTCCCTGCGCTCGCTCGCTGAAGGCGTCATGCTCGCTGCGCAAAGACAAAAAGCGGCGATAAAAGCTCCGTGCGCAACAGTAACGGAACCGTTCGATTTGACTGGCGTGAATTTAACACATCTCCACATTTCACAAAACCGCAAGCCTTTTGTGAGCTGCGGAATGCGTTAACTCAATGTTAATTTTATTTTCCCCTCTTAGAAGAATTCCCGTCTGGTAAAATAGAACAAGAGTTCGCATTTCAACAGAAATATATTAGGAAAATCTGCATTATTTAGGCTAAAACAGCAGCATAATTGCTCTTCGTGTAGCAACTATAAATTCAATCACGTCTCCAATAGCAACAGTTTCATTTCAGTCCTCAACAGGTCGAAAATCAACAGGTGATTGTCTGATTCTGGTTTCTTCCCCTTTTTTCCCCTTTGATGTGATTTGTTCTGTAAACACTGACGAAATCCTCCAAACTGGCACTTTTTTGGAGGAGTCTATAAACCAGGTCGCACTGGGCCTGTTGGTGTCCCTGAATAATTCATCGCTCATTGCGGGTTCATAATGTCTTCTCCCGGCCTTTTGTCAGCGCAGCTTTTTTTTCTCCTCCTCCCTTTCTTTCCCTATTTTGAAAGAGCCTGGCATTTTATTGTACACCACTGAGCCGCTCACTGGAGTTTGGCTTTTTTGTGCGTCATACCGAGGTGTGACTCTAAATGGACTCGCGATGCTTTGTGCTCAGAAGTTCATTCGCAGTGTCCGATTAAGTGTTTAAAAAATGAAAAAAAATTCTCAGGCCTGGGAGTTACACAAATGTTTGATTTTGAAAAAACTATTTGTTTAACTCTCACAAGTGTAGGCGCATGCGTGAGCACCTGAGATTTTAAAAATTCAAACATTTCCACAAAGTAATATCGAAATTATTATTATTATTATTCATTTTCTTTCTGATACAAACAAACGGCAAAGCACAAGCGGATTTCACCAGCCTGAAAAGCCTTGCTCATAAGCTACAGACAACAAAACCGACCACACACAATTAAACATTTAAAAGCCATAAACAACCAGATCTTACTTTTCTACTCAAATTCGTTTCTAAATTTTTTTTTCTTTTTCAACATTCTCCTGGACAGTAACATGAGCACACAGCGCATTGAAATCATAAATGAAGAACTTACATCGGTCTCCCAGAATGCCATCGATGCTGTGTTTCGTCCGTGGCTCGTTTTCCTCCATCGCCCTCTTCACGACTTCTTCATCCTCCTCCTCATCCTCACCAGCTCCACCGAATTTGGAGCGCATGACGCGGCTGATGGCGCTCACTGAGTCAGACGGAAAAGTTCGGATAAGTTACAGAAAGAAAGAAAAAAGTAAAATCATTCTTTAAAAAAATACTTCATTATCAAATAATTAACAAAAAATGTTCACAATCCCTTACACCAACAAATTTTGCGCTCGTTTTTGTTGATTAAAATGATCCCACCACTTTTAAGCGGGGAAGATGAAATTATTTTTCCACATCGTTCCTTCCGGTTATAGTTACAATATTTTATAATTGTCTGTACCTGAGGGGACGTTGTTTCTGTCGCAGATTCCATCTTTCAGTAGTTTGTCCCTAATTTCCCAGCTGAACATTCCCGGGTTTTCTCTCTTATACTCTTCGATTTTCTTGTCAACCTCTGGAGAAGCGGTTTGCTTCGGTGGGAAAAGGGAGAAATCATATTTCAAATAAGGGGATATATATATATATATATATATATATATATATAAGTTTAGTTTATATATATATCGAGTTTAATACTTGGGATGCAACACAACTTAAAATGCCTTTTACTTAAATACAGGAGATTTGTATTTTCATTTCTACATATTACTGAATGTCTGAATGTCTAAAAAAGAAATTTTAATATCAGCTGTTGAATTTTTTAATAACGATTGCAAATTTCCAGATTATTAAATCTGTGAGTTTAACAACAGTGAATATTTTTATTTTGACGGCAATGTGTTGTCTGAGCGTGTTCTGAAAAGCTTTGCTGAAATAACCTTTGGACACTGGCTCTTGAATAATAATCAGGCACAACATCAGCCGTCCCGTCTCTCACCTTCGGCTTGCTGCCTCCGATGGCCCCCGGCCTGATAGAACCCGTCTCCTGGTACCGGCAGAGAATTTTGGAGACGCAGCCGTGGGACACCCGCAGCTGACGGGAGATGACGCAGGGCCGGATACCGTGATGGGCCATCTCCACTATTTTATGTCGAATGTGGTTGGGAAGAGGTCTGCCGTTTATGAAGACACCACCGAGCTGGTTGACCCGACCCTGTCCTAACGGAGTCGAGACTATAGACAACAAGGGGTTTAATTTGTGAAACACCTGAAAACTAGACAACTTGCCTCTTATCTTTTCAGCAAAACACTTTGGAAACTGTATATGTATAAAATAAATAAATAAATAAATAAATAAATAAATAAACAACAACTCCTCACAACTCTCATGTGACAGGCTATGTTGGAATAAGAGCAGTGAAAAAGCATATATAAAATATATATTGGCCTGCTGGACAATTGTGTTATTAAACACGTCGCTTTTTAAAGGTTACATTTAGACACAACAACTGCACTTATGCTTAAATAGTAGTCATAAAATAGACATGAAATATTAAAAATTCAAAACCAATCACCATATAGCGCAGTCAGACTTTCTCTCCAGTAACAGACATTTAAAGTCAAGTTTTTGTTTTTTGTTTTGTTTATTTGTATGTTTTGGGGTTTTTTTTACAGTTTTAAATATTTTCCGCAGTCACGTTTTCCACCTTTGCTCAAGTTTTTTTTTTTTGCTTTAAGTTGAAGTTTAGTTTTAGATGTGCGAGCAGTAGCAGCTGGATGTGGTTTCTTACCTTCTAGAGAGTATCCTCCTCGCGGGTAGTTCTGATGGGGAGTCGGTCTCATCATCCTCGGTAAACCTCCTGCAAGTGCTGTCATGTTTCCTGACTTTCTGTCAGGTCGCTTCACACGTTTAACGTAGCTACCTTGGTAGATTTTAATCCAACAAGACGCTCCTTCTTTTGTTAGTTTAGACGCCCTCTTTGCAGTCGCCGGCCGTCTCCTATTCGTTGAGTAACAGGTTGCCTCGACCGCAGCGCACCGAATTCCTCATAAGAGTTACTGGTTGCTTTCCGGTGATCGATGTGGGCTGAGGGGTGAGTTTAAATCAAAGTGCTGGTTGCCCTGGCAGTCCTGCGGGGACTATGAAGATGCTGTGCGAGGATGGATTGAAGTCAAACATTTTATCTGTGCTCGCTGTCCCCTCTGACTCTACCGCGCGCATGCTGATTGGTCAAAGATCCGGACGTTCAGGGCCAGGGGAGCTGTGTGATTGGACGTCGGGCCCTCTCTTGTCTTTGGACTGACCTCACGAGGTCAGCTTGTCACGTCACAAGCTTCTGTGCGTGAAACTTCTCACAGCGAGCGCAACTCTTAACAAAACAAATTCAGCAGATCTGTTCGATTAATAGTTTTTTCCTGGCTCTGCTGAGATGATGATGCCACTGCTGGGCCTCAAATGAACAGCGCGAGCCGATTAGCCTACAGAAGCAGCACGACTGCGGTTAGATTTTACAATGACGAGGTTTTTTTGTTTTTTTTAAGTCATCTAAGTTTTCTGCTACCTTGAGAGTTCGCAATGAGTACTTTAAAATCAAATCAGCCCACAGTATATTAACACAGTTAATCATAACCTTATTTCAGCAAAAAACACATTTTTTATACATATAGATATTTTTATGGACATTTTCTTGGTGTTGTTGTTATTATAGAAGGGAGGGGTCTAGTTTGTTGTTTTTTTTAAATCTTTTTCTAGGAGTTTCTTCACACACACCGTAATAAGCTCTAATAAGTAATAAGTTATCATGTAATCGTTGCACTAATTTAACAATGAATGCAGCGCGGAGCAGTGTAACACATCCGTGCAAATGCTCCATTAGGGACACCCTGAGCCACATGTTGGATCACTTGATTTTTCTAAAGCTTGAGTTGTTGTTGTTGTTGTTGTTGTTTTTAAAATAATTACAATAAATGACGATTTTATTATTTTTTATTTATTTATTTTTTTCTGTTCCCCTCAGGAATACGTTTATACATTGGGTGACTGAGCTTATGGGACACCTCAGTCTGCTGAATTGAATGACTGATTGGTCAAAACAATATTAGGCAACGTCATAACTTACATTTTCTGTGCAATGCAGTGATCACCGTTGTATTTGTGAATATTTACCTAAACATGATGATGATCCTGAGGAGCACTGTGAAAATCTCAACTAAATGAAACTAATTTAATTTAATAATAAACTTATTTATTTATTGACTGTTAAATGGAGAAACAATGAATGGGGGAACAGAGATTGTTGTATCGTTATTTCACTTACATCCCAACTTGGTGCAATCTTTCTGGTCCTTTCACTCCCACAGCATGTGGCTCAACATATCTTTAGTCACTCTATAAGACCCTGTGTTAAAAAAAAAATCCAATGGACACAGAACATGTGGAAACATTATACGTCCATAAAAGCAGAATGGGGGAGATAGAAAGTTATTATACTAAAGTTCGACTATCATGAAAAGGATATTGGATCTACCATGTCAAATCAATTAGAGGGGTAAGCTGAGTCAGAAATGCGCTGTGGTGGTGGCAGCAGCAGTGAACCTAATGCATCAAAAATATAGAACAAAATGAACCCAAAACTAAATAACATGTAGCATTTACTTGGCAGATACACAGCCAGAGTCTTTTGAGGCTATATTTTGGAATCAAACACATTAATGAAACTCAATAACCTTCTATGTCTCCACTAAAGATAAAGTTAGTATAGCTGCCTAATAACCTATAGGCAGTTTTGTTCTTGGCCGATAAGGCCCTCTGCTGAACCACAGCACTGAAAAAATCTCCTTTCTTTGTAAAGCCACTTACAGCATAATAGTCGAGATTAACACAATATCAGTTCAAATATAGGAGGACATCTGGAGGAAATTAAATCATAACTGATAATCTGTCCATGAGCTATAGGGACTCAACTGCTGAGCTAACAAGGTTAAATCTTTTTTTTTTTTTAAATTCTGTTCCTTAGTTTAAAAAATATATATTGTAATTGTAACTGCTTACCCTGACAAGCAGAGTGATTGATAACCTTGATTACCCTAATTTGGATTATCCATTGACTTTCTATCATAATTTCAGTGTGTTAAAACAACAGCCCGCTGTAAAACAGCATGTGTTTAACCTTTATTAGGCCTCAGAGAATCATGCCTCTGCTGTGAGTGGGAATTTTTTTAATTAAGTGTAATAATACATGTCTGTAAAGCAGACGCCCGCAAGGGTTTATCATTACTTCAACTCCTTTGGGGTGTTTTTGGTTTCCTACTATTTTAAACACAGAATTGTAGTTTACTTACTCGCTTGTTATGACGACCACAACTCTAAATTAAGCTGAACTTGTGAGTGTGTGAGTGTGTGTGTGTGCGTGTGCGTGTGCGTGTGCGTGTGTGTGTGTGTGATTTCCGTTAAGGACAATATCAATCGTAACTGATTTATTTATTTATCCTGTCTTTTTTTAAGCTCCAAGCATTCAATGGTGACAATTTAAAAGAGCTTTACATGAGCGGACATAGTCTGAAAAGTGAGAAACAGATTAGGAGAATACCCAATTTATCTATTAGATAAACATCTAAGCAGCGTTAGAATGAGGAAATCCATTCTCTGATTAGCAGCCTTTGGGATGTTACTGTTACAAGGCACAACCAAAAGACTGCACTGTTTTTCTAGTGTGTTTGATCTTATCAAATATGTGTGGCTCTCCAGACTTCAGTGGGAACTCACGCTGAGTGCAGTTATCATAACAAAGACCTATAAGGTGAGCTTAGGTGAGTGAGAACAAACAAAAAGAGAAGCAAAGCATTTGTTAACCATACAACCTCGAGGCATGCGGGGTTGCTTTAATAGTTGAGTAACTACAGACCCAAACACTGAGATGATGAACCATCATTTGTCACCTTCAGTAAGATTATTATTTAACCTGCAATACACTGTGCTCTTACTTCAATGTGTGTGTGTGTGTGTGTGTGTGTATGTGTGTGTGTGTGTGTGTGTGTGTGTGTATGTGTGTGTGTGTTTCTCTTTGGCGGAGGGATGATATCTGGTGTTATGACAATACACAGGAGCAGAATTATTGCTTCGCCAAAGAAAGTTTTACATCCAAAGTAAATTCAGTGCAATATAGATTATTTTAATGATTAGAAATGACTAGTTTTACACGTGTGATGTGGAAATCATCATTCAATAGGCTTTTGTTTTAAAATCACAAAATACATAAAACAAGCGAATCCTATCCATAATCTGCTCATTTTTGCACATCTTCAAGGATTACATATTCTGAGTTCAGTTTTATTTTCTAATGTACAGGGGAAAAAAAGAATAAATATGTCAAACATATTCTGAAGCAGTAACCCAAGACACTATCAAGCCCTAGGGCTTTTTCTTAATTTCCCTGAAAATACATGCAGGATGAATTCAGTCGACTAGAAGGCCAAACAACCTTGGTCTCTCTGGATAAGAAACACTCGGGTCACTTTTGCCATAATTAATATGATTTGCAAGAAGTATTTTGGTATGTCATTTTCTCTATCGCAGGGCCAGATTGAGCTTTAAAAAAAGCAGCAACTGATGTTTCTGCTTAGGACCAATAACAACCATAAGCCAGAGAACCGGAGTGTGATAACAGCCTTAAATGAATGAGTCTGTGATGAGTTACAGTGTTACGTTCTTAGGTGTAACTGTGTGATGCAAGAGAAAAAGAGAACAATGCTAAATCAATTTTAGTCCTAGTATTTCACATCCCCTTTACTGATTTATTAAAAGCAGATACAGAGCAGTCCCAGTACAGGGGGCTACAGAGCTTGAAAGAGTTCAATTATATGCATTTTGCATGTTTTCGTTTAAAAATCTTGGCGCTGACAACATTTCTATTGTCAGAAATTCATCTCATTATGTGTTGACACATTTCTTCTTCATTTATATATTTTACGGATGAATCACTTTACTTCTGAACCATACAGGAACTAAAGCGAAACACCAATCGTCATTAAATCCATGATTAGAATGAAGTTTATAATAGTTTTTATAAAGGAGCACTGATATGCTAGCATTTTAAAGTGTATTCTAACCAACACAACTCTGTCCTCATTAATGGCTGGAATTACCGCGCTGTTAAAACGTTTTAACTACATGTAAAGTTGTTCATTTATATAGATTAACACTGCTTTCACTAAACATGCAAGCATAAATTCCGCCACAAGAGGGCCCATTGTACGTCGACACATTGTGCAGGCCAGTGTGTGTGTGCTATCATGTGTAAAGATACAGCCTGAAGACAGAAGCTTGTCCTAACATGTAACACATAGTTTCTGTGTGGAAAGGGCATGAAATCTTCTGCATCTATGTTGGCAGGGAATTCCTTTAAGATGACTCTACTGACTCTGAAACGTTTCAAGTATACTTTAACTCCATATTATGGATCGGGATGTAAAACTTTTAAGGACAGACATAACACATTTGTGCATTATACCAGTGGTCTGACTTTATTTAAATTAAATAATTTCATAATTTCTCATTAAATAAAAATAATGATGATAATATTTCTCCACACAAACCAAATAGGGTGTAAATGTATGTAAGTTGAGAAGATACTCCTTGTATTACTAGGGTGGACAAAAGTTTAAAACTGGAAGCACCTCTTTATTCCACTAAAGAGGTGCTTCCTGAAATGTTCAAATAATTATAAAAAGTTAATGGTGAACTGGACTTTACGCAGAAGCAGAGCGTAAAGTCATTATGCTTGCAATAAAAAGAACCATTTCCATGAGAGTCTCCTGGAAATGGTTATTAATAACAAACATGATAATAAAAAAGAACATTCGCGAATCTCTAAACCGGCTGCTGGTATTTAACCCATGTGGTGCTCTCTGAGCTAAAACTTGCACAACAGCGGATCAGCGCCGGGCTGAAGGTGTCACCGCTGATCATCCTGCTTGGCGCTGTCCACTGCCTGTGGTGCTGAAGTGTAGAGGAATCAACACATGGTGCCCTTTACTGACACCGCGGGCACTAAATTCTAATTATACGGTTAAATAGGCCTGTTAGATCCAACTTATACACGTGATTCACGCTTGAGACAAATCTGCCAGGTGACAGACACCAATGGAGAAATCAATTTGACCATGTCTATCGATTTATTAGTATTATTATTATTATATATATTTTTTTTTTTTTTCGCTTAACAGTTAGTTCCGGTGTTGAGATCACGGTGATGCTCAGAAAGGAACGCGATTTCAATACAACCAGAAATATTATTTATTCCACTTCACACTGCCTTCCTCCAGTCCTCCACTGCAGGAGATCCTCTTATGTGTGATGGTGAAATGTGAGACTCGGTGTACTGACAGTGTTGTCAAATAAAGCAGTTAATGCGGTCCAATAATGGAGAACATGGCGGAGGCGCTCAGTGCAGGAGGCGTCCATGGGGAGGAAAGCGAGTGCAAAATATGCTACAACTACTTCGATTTGGAGCGCCACAGTCCCAAACTGCTGAGCTGCTCCCACACCTTCTGCCTGGAATGCCTCGAAACGTTGCACTTCCGGGAGGGTCGGGGCTGGAGAATCGTTTGCCCCGTGTGTCGCCACCGAACTCCTTTACCGGAACGTCGGGTTCGCAACCTCCCCGACAACACAGCTCTCACCGAGGAGCTCTCGCACAAAAAGCGGGAGCCCGAGGACTCATTAAACGCGGAAAGGCTGCCGGGTCCGCCCGCCTCTCCTGCGACCTCCACGGAGACCGGCCACAGCGGATGGGAGGCGTGCAAACACGTTGCATTCAAGACCAGTTGCGTGTGCGCCATCTTCTCCTTCCTCTCCACGCTGCTGCTCGTGTTTCTGGGCCTCGTCTTTGTGCATAACCTCAGCCACATCAGGTCGCTCGTCCCTGTCTGCTTGTCTGTTGCCAGCATTCTTGCCCTGTTCTCGCTCATCCTGACTTGGTTAGCCTGCATGCTTTATCAGCCTGAAACCGAGGCAAGCGACTCAGTTTATCTCAATATCACGTGATCACCCGGATACACCAACGAAACCCAGCCTGTTGAGAACTATTCAAAGAGAAATGGTTATCATTTTATTTTTTCAGAGTGATTATAAATCCCGTATGGCACTTTAGTAAAAGGTATGTTTGTGGATAATTGTAATAACATCAGTAAACGGTGCACAAACTATGTTTGAACTTGTGCAGACTGCCACACTGTCATGCTGTACTGGGACACTTTACCTAAACAGAGCCATTAATAATAACTTCAAATCTAAAGCAGGCTTTAGCTTAGCGTCCCAAGGTGCATTGAAACAGCTGTATGAGTAAAGCTAATGGGACATGACAGAATTATTCCTATCTTCTGTGCCCGTTTACCTTAAAACTACCTCTGTGTGATTACACTGACTCCCCATGGTGGGCCGGGGCAGCAGCAGGGGATCCCAGGTCAGTCACCCTGAGGGGACATGGGCCTTAACAAGATGAGAAAAATAACTTTGGGGTTGGGGGCCTAAATAAGTAGTTTTTTGAAGTGTTGACACAATGGAAGTGCAGGCTGTCTTAAATAACCCGATGGGGGTTCAGTTATCTTTATCAAATCATTAAAATCATGCTTAGATGGCTTTTAGAGCAAGTGTTTTATTGGATTTTTGTGGATTTGTTGCATGTATTTGCTGTGTCTCATCATCATAAGAACAGAAGCACTTTCAGTGCACTGGGTTTGGGTTATTAAATCCATCCTGATCAAGGAGATGACTCCATTTGGTTTGTGGTATTTGCTGGATCCCAGTAACACAGTAGGCATTTATATCCACTTAGTGTTGTTTTAAGAGGCGACACTGGTCTCTGGAGTTAAAATCCATCTCTTTCAGGTCTCTCAAAGGAACTCCTTCATTTGGTCATCCGGTCAGTGAGTAATGCCACTTAAGTGCCACCATGACAAAAGCCTGAGGAGGAAAAAAAAAAGAGGGATAGCAGGCTTCCACTGGGAGCCATAGGCAACAGTGTGTCTGGGGCAGAGGGCTTCATTTCATGGGGACTGTGGGGCTTAAAGTTAAAGATTACTTTGAAATCTGCATCCCCTGCCATCAAACTCTCCCACCATCTCCCACCCTCCCTCCAGCCATCACTCCCACTCCCGAAAAATAAAAAGCTGTAGCTACAGAGCAGGGGATGAGTCGAGAGCAGATCCTCTTTGATGACAGAGAAGGATCCTTTTGTTCTCTAATCCCTACACAGCACACACACACACACACACACACACACTCACACACACACACTCCCACCCTCCTCTTCCTTATACGTCCAACTAGATATCAGAGATTTTCATAATCAGATGGGGGTGGGGGGTGGGAGGGGTCAAACATTATTTGTTTACCAGTTTTACCTTTAAAAGAACAGATTGACAGTGGAACATCTCTAACAAAAAGGAACAGGTTTTGAGGTCATCACTCTCTCCACAATTTTGCTCAGTGGGTTTTGGTGTGTTTCTCCAAACATTTTAAATTTTGCAGCCTTGAAGCTCTCCCAAATCTCCCCAGAAATACATGCAGCAAAACACTACAATTAACCTGCAAAAGGTTGTAACTCACTCACAAATGCTCATGTGTCAAAAAAGAGAATACGAACACAATGCTGCATAGGATTCAGCAGATTGTGATATGGATCATACTGTGACCTTGCAACTGAGAAATCAAACACATGTATAACCAATAAGTGTTCAAATTGTAAGCAGTTGTGCTTTTTCTTTTAACTTAACCCTTTGTTGACTATGATTTATACATGCTAAAGACCTCATTTGTAATTTTGGCTGTAAAATGAAAAGGGAAATAATTGAGATTTTTCAGAAACCATTTGAAAATTGTCTCTAACTCAAACGTTAACTGAGTTATGGTCATGGTCAAGAATGCCTGTAAAATAGGCCCACTGGCAGGCCTGTGGTAAAGAAAGGGTTAACATTCTGAAACCTTTGTAAATGAGAAGTGCTCTTTCTGATGTGCACAAGTAACAGAAAGTTGAGAAGAATTTAAAATACTTCATCTGTGATTTGAAGTTGAGCAACTCAGAATAACTAAAGTAGCAGGTAATCACGTTGTAATCACACTGGCGGGAAAGAATCACATTTTAAATAACACAGTAGGTGAATCTCCAGGGAACAGTGATTAGATGCCGTGGACACTCAAAAGAGACAGACAGTTGCATGATACATTTTCTCTCTTCCTGTATCGTTTTAAGTGTGTGCAGAGTGTGTCTCTGTGTCATTATCACATTGGACACACATATTTCACAGAGCAGATGAAAGTGATGTGTGTACTTGCAGCATCTGCCCCCTGACGGTCCGTGTCCCGCCGTGACCTCAAAGACACAGCCCGAGGAGTGAGATTATCACCCTTCTGTGTGCAGTTTGCCTCATCATGTGACCACAAGCTTGTGTGAGTCCAAGTCTGTGTGTATGTGGTGGAGAAAGTGTGGTTTTGTGTGCACATGTGCACGTATTTGTCAGAAAATGGCAGTAAAAACATATGGCCCAACAAGCATGCAAAAACTCTAAAGAACAGTGAGAAGAAATCGATGTCCAGGGTCAAAGTGTCGCACGCAGCTCATCTAACCGTTTCACTTTCATCGTGTTCCTTTTTAGCAGTCACAGGAGATGTTTCTCTCCTATCTGTCCTCTGCCTCTATCTCACATGAGGCATTTTGGGATAACGTCTAAGTCAAGTTGAAACAGGAGAGCAATGTGTGGGCCTCACGTAAGAGATGCAACTCCCTCTGGTGTGGAAACATGAGATTGCAGACAAGTTTCTTTTTATAAAATTACATAAAAATATTTAAATATATATTAATTGATTTTTTTTAAAGACACTTAAAAGTCAACCAATGTTGGTGATTATTGTATTTACATTTCTGCCTGTTAGAATAAACCCAACACTCACATATTTATGTTTATTATGTGTGTGAAACACATGAATGAACCACATTATCAAGTCATGTGATCTTTTTAGCAGCAGCTGTTTTTTATTATTCTGATAAGTGAATTCGCAAACTATCCATTAACTGTTTCCCCTTAAAACAGATTTTACATGAATATCAGTGACCACCACAGGCCAGGCTGAACTGATTGCAACAGTAGCACCATTAATTATCAATACATTATTGTAGGAAGCTCTATTAAGAGTGCTGGCTGTCTCTCACATGATACAGGTACATGGAAATAAACCTTTTATAAAGATGGATTTAGTTTGGAGAGGCTGATATGGAACAAGCTTTATCCTAACTTTAATCACTCACTGCAGCTTCATCATCTTCCTCATATTTCTACTCTCTCATTTCTATCCTGTCGCACACACTATTGAGAGGAAATAGACCAGAAAAGAACCACGAGTACAACGTGAGATGGTTTGGAGGAATAGAAACTCCAAAAAAAAAAAAAAAAACAATTATGGAGAAGTATGAAACAACAGTTCAGACACTTCTTTCGTCTTCTTAATTCAGGAAATATATTGTGGTAAAAGTGTGCTATTTTCAAGGATTCAAAACTCTTAAATAAAACTGTGCAACAATCACATGCAATTAGATATTTGAATTAAATACTTGGGGGGGGGAAACTGACATATCTGGTACGGTACTGAAATTTTAATAGACTGTGATATGAGTTAGATTACTCACTAAGTGCTCCTTAGTCTGGTGCTTGAACGCACAGCATCGTGGTTTTAATTCATATACGTTTCAGTGCATCATTTTGATGGTCTGTGATATGTATTGGAATAAAATACAGTCAATCAAAGCTGATAAGGAGGTAGTCAGTCTTTACATTGCTAGGTTTTAATAAGCTGTCGACAAAAAGAGGAAGGTAAGGAGTTTCGGTGGTTTTGGTAACCGTTCTTGCTCAAGACAACCTAGCGTCTTACACTTATTGCGGTATGTATAGCTTGTTTTCCTTTCGTCTCGTTTCCCTTCGCCCATTTGACAGCTGTCTGTCTCTTCTTTGGCAGATCGCCGACTTGCTAATCAAACACAATAATATGTGACTTGCAGTCACTTAACAGCCCACTAAACCTATCACCTCACGGGCGGCCACACTCTGTGTCCACTGCTGTAGGACAGCGTAGACGGCTGTGACCGATAATAACCTCTCTGACGTCTCTGTTGGCCCAAGCACGCGCCACCTCCAGTCTTCCAATCGCAGGCGGAGAAGCGCCGTGACGTCACTTTATATCTTCCGGGCTGGCAGCAGTGGCCCGGTGATGCTCTGATTTACAATTTGACTTAATTTTATATTGTTTTTTAAGCGGACCAACGGTTGTAATTTAGGGACAAGCGCGCCGAGTTAACAGACGATGTCTTCATCCTTTTCAGAGCTGTGGTTGCAGAGGCTAATCTAGCTGATCCGGTGCTTCAGAGACTGAAAGCGCAGCAGCAGAGGACAGAGGTGAGAATGTGTTGCGGCGTGAGCGCTCTGCAGATGTTGAGGAGAGATGGGCTTATTGTCAGCGACCGGTTTGCTAATCAACGTGGCACGTACCCTTTAATTCTCCTTAGACGTCCATACGAGGCGACGCTTATATGCTGCTTTTTAAATTAATTTCAGTGAATGTCTACCGGGAAAACCGGCTTCACTAAAGGCACCAGTAGTAGTAGCGGCGGCGGAGGCTAGCTATAGCTAAGTGCTAGCTGCTAGCGCGTCTTTGAGCCGCTAATCTGGATGCTACTTCGCTAGCATCGCAGCATGTGACCTTCTGTGTGTCATCCAGCGGTAGTGTTGCTCAAAATATCAAAACCTACGCGGCGGTTATTTTATGTGTGCCGGTTTTATTCAACCGGCACACATATTGATACAGAATACTGTTAAGGATCCAAACCAACGCGCCGACACCGCACTGAATGTCATGCTTCTCATCTGACTGCTGCAGTCTGAATTACATGACAATTACTAGGTTAAACGCTACACTCGTCACCAGGTTAAATCATAGAGTGGGAGTTGCTGAGTTTATACTACTGTCCCGATGCTGATTAACATACTGCCACTATTGCTATCATATTTAGTTATTTAGTGTTAAAACAAACAATACTTTAAAATTAAAGTGGCAGCAAGTTGCTGTTTGTTAAATTGCTTTACTAAAACAAGCACGAGGTTTTGTGTAGTCTCTGTTGGCTGGCATTAACAAATAAGGTCTAATTTCTGATCAAAAAGTTATTCATTGCGGCTGTGTCTTAAGGGATTGCAGGTTTTTCCCACTGAGATAATTTTTCATGCATTATATTGTTGAATTGGTGAGCAGGAGAGGGTGTGTCTGTGTCATTCAAATCCAACAATGGCTGGACCTGTATTACGTGTTGGAGCTGGAAGGACTTCTCAGTGTACTTTGCTCAGATAATGGATGACTTTTATCGGTTGGTTGTGGTATCTGCTGTACAACAGATGAGACATGTTTGTAGCAGAAGCGATTTGAGTTTGGATCTGATTGAAGTAACAGTTAGGATTGTCTTTTTCCCCTCCAGTAAATATACAGGTACAACGTGGGGCTGATGCACACACTTGCAGAATGCTTG